GCCTGGTAGCAATAGCCATGCCCTGCGATATATGGCAAAGAATGGCGCATTTCCGACGGGCAATGGAAGGGGCTAAGGGCGTATTCTGTGTTGAATTGGGATATTCCGGTATAATATCCCAAACAATCTCGCTTCCCTTCTTTCTCGTATTCTCCTTCTCTCTGTTTTTATACTACTGTGCCTGCCTGAGTCCTCTCCTTCTGCCTCGTCCCCGCTCCTCTTCATTAATTCTCGATTCCTTGAAAAGAGAATCATATACACCCATCAGTCATAACTACAGAAAAGAAACCTCGTCGCAGCTTTTTTTTTACTAGTATTAAATCCAGAAATCAATTAACTTCGATGGGTACCTGAAAATACTGGTGTCTGAAACAAACACCAATTGGTTCATGAAGAAGACACTACCTTCAGGTACCCATCGGAGTTAATTAATTTCCGGATTTAATATTAGTGGACTTCTCGGTTAATTTCCTGACTTTTTTTCCCGTTTTTCTTTTCTATTTTAGTACATGATCAAATTAACGAAAGAGAGCCGTGAAGAATCTCCGGCGCATGGAATTTAGAGTGGCAGCTGTGAAGATGGGGAGGAAAGGCCAGAAGAAGTCCCACAAGAAAGAAAGAGCGGAGCAAAGAGTGCTCTATAAATAGGCAACTTTGTTCGGTGGAAAATTTATTGGAAATAAAGAAATAGCCCACAATCGAACGAAAGTCGAACGAAATTACCCACAATCGAACGAAAGGCGCACGACAATCTACCGATGATGTTGACAGGAAACGGATATCAAAATCGGTCGCTAGCGAGAGGAGAAATAAAAAAAGGCAGACAGAGTCGAACGATCTCGCACGATAACGCATTCTTATCGCTCGACATCCAAATCCGAGGCTTTTGTAATCGTTCAATCTACTTAGGACTGTTAATTAATAAGAGAAAGTCTACTATCCAACAATGACATATAGGTTGAATGTTCATTTTGGTTATTTAATTTTATCGATTTGTATATTTTTTGTTTTTATAGTATTTTTTACATATTTTTTATCTCTTAATTTTAAAAGATGTACAAGATTAGTTTTTCCATTAATTTGGACAATTAACTCCGTCCATGTAGTATTTTTTATAATTTTGTTAATGATGTGGTAAATTATGTGATATTTTTTTTTATTTTTTTAATGATGTAACAAATTAAATTAAATTTAAATACTTATATAGATAAAAAATGATATCAAGTTAAATTTCATTAATTAATTATTATTAAACTATAATTATTTATATTAATTAAAATTGAGATTCTATTTAATTTGTAATTAAATCACAATTTTATTATCAAATTTTCTTGATAGACATTACAATTTTTTCTCAGCTAACAAACAAATTTGAACTATTTTCTCAGCATCCAAACACCCAAACTGTATAATTTTCTAGCCAAGCAAATGGAAACCCACTAAAAATTGCTTCTTTGCCCATTAGTCATTGCTTTTGTTCTTTCCATTGCCGGCGATGTTCTTTCCATTTTAAACATTAAAATAATTTAGACAATAGTTAGGAAATATGAAGCAAAAGGATCTCAAAAATCCCTTATAACCTGCAACTTACATAAACTCTTCACAACAAATATATAACAAAAAAAAAAAAATGGAGTTGGGTTTGGTGGAACCTAGCGGATGGGTTCCATCAAACCCGAGCTAGGTTCCCTTGAACCCAGATCAACTAGGTTTGAGGGAACCCAATAACATAGAGGAAGAAAAGGAAGAGAGAAAAAGAAGAAAAGAAGGAAGATGGATTGAAAAAGGGGAAGAAGATGGATCAAGAAAGGGAGATAGGGGTATTAAGGTAAATTTATAATTTTTTATTTTTTTATTAAAGATATAAATACTAATCTAATTTGGTATATGAGTTGGCGTTTTTATTTTCAGTTTATATGATGTGTTACTGCCATGTCATAAAAAAAATGTCACCGTGTAACTTTTTAAGTGTCATGTCACGGATAACTGATAGAAGATCAATATTGTACATTTCTTAGAATTGAGGGATAAAAAATGTGCATAAAATATTTTAGAGACCCAAAATGTGCAAATCGATAAAGTTTAGGGACCAAAATGACTGATATATATTATGTATAATATATATTCTACATTAACTATGAACTGACACGTAATCATGTTGTGGGGATACTAAACACTTAACCTAATTTGCTTTTTTACTCTTTTTGCCTTTAGCTTCCCTTCGTCCTTCTTCTTTTGTGTTCCTTCACCAAGAAACTTGCGGGGGATATAAATATCTTTCTTCTTTCAATTGCTCCCAAGCCTAATATATCAAATTACTTTGTAAATTTATCTGCCCGCTCCATCAATTTCCCTCTTAACCTCCATCCTAGGCAAGAAGAACCATAAAACTTGGGTAATTAAATTGGTATTGTTAATTCGTCTGGAAGTGGAAATTTTGTTTGTGCTAACTTTTTTTTAGGGCATGTTTGGTATAACAATTTTAGGGTTGCAGTTAGTAGTTTTATTTAAACCGTTAAATGTAGGTGTTTGATAAATTTATATAATTTGAAACCGTTACAAATAAAGTATTCGGTAAAATTTTTATTTAACGGTTTGAGACTAGCGAATAGCGGTTAGGATACAAACCGTTAACGAATTGAAAAAGTTAGTTTATCTAATTTTTTGTACCAAACCGCTAGCATATTAAAATTTTTTAATTTTATTAACAAATTTATCCATTTTAATTTTTTAATTTATGGTCACATTTTTTAATTAATAATTATCTAATAAATTTCAATTTTGTTTTTTA